ATTAATTGTAATCAATATTTCTGAAGACTTTGATAAATTACTATAGGTATCTATTTCTTGTCAAGTTTAAGATAACGATTATCTGTTGTAGCACCTTTTATATTACGTATGCTACATCATACAGTGGGTGATGAAATTTTTCAAAAAGGGATTAATGTCTATATGAAAAGAGAGTAAGTATATTTCATGTCTTGTATTTCTCCTCTTTTTTTTGTTAAATAAATAATTTTTTATTTTCATTTTTTTTTATTACATGATAAGGTTATATATAAATAATAATTTACTATATCCTCTACTATTTTTGCGCTAAATGAAAACTATGTTATTACATACAAAATTATTTTCTCAAATATTTCCTTACTTCTCGAAATAAGAAAAAATTTAAATGTGTTAAAATGAAAAAAAATTTTGTATCAAAAAATTTACTATTCGGAATCAATTTAAACATATTAAAATTTTTAACAACTGTTCCAAAACTAATCAGCATTAAAATTTAATGTAATTGTATTTTGAATATATCATTATATGTATTTTCGTTTGTAGATGGTAATGATAATAATTAAAAACCCGATTAAAATTCAATCGATGCAGTCGGTATTGAGCTTTACTTATATCGCAGTTTTGCGCAAATAAAGTCAGGCGCATCTGTTCCACACAGATGCCCTTGATAACTAAATTGAGCGAATGATGCGAATTATGCGTGTTTTTCAATTATAAACAATTATACAAATTTATGTTTATACTATATATGAAGAGATTCATATTTTTCCGCTGATAATGTCTCTATTACACAAGTCTCTATTATAAATTGTGAATAGAATTAATTTTTATTCATTTTTGTAAGGACCGGTAGTTTGGACGATTTTTGGACTGTAATGCAATCTGTCTATGATTCACAAACTATGGATTTGGAGAAACTTAGTGTGAAAGACTTGATGAATCCTTGGATACAAGAAAAGCAATATCCTATTCTTAATGTAACGGAAATCTTTGATACCGAATGGACGAAAATTGTTCTAGAAACTACTTCCAAAAACTGGACGGTATCATTAACAAATCAAGCGTACATAAATTTAAAACGAATTTTACCCAAATTTTCTCTAGCCCGAGAACAAAAGCACTTTCTTGCAAAATGTTACAATTCCGAATACAATCAGTTTATAATAATCAATCGGCAACAAACAGGTAAATAACGATCGAGAACTTTAAGGTGGAATATCATTAATTCATTCATCTTGTATTATGAAGACAAGTTAACTATGAAAAAGAAAAGATTTTTGACTTATATTCTTGACTTTGTAACAGAATTCTTAAATAGGATATACATACAATTTTAAAATTGCATATCTAAGGTAAATTAGAATAATGTCTATACTGCTTTTAGTGATTTTAATTTATCTACAATTATTCTTTTCTTAATCGAATTACATTTAACGCAATTAATTTTATAAATATGTTCATATATTTCATGAAATTTTTTGATATTATTCTCTTCTGATATGCAATATTTATAAACAAAAGTTAAATTTCGTAAATTTATTATATTGCTGTAATAAAGTTGTCAACTGAATGATTCGCAATATTCGACGTAAAATTCAATATTACATCAGTTTGTAAATACCAATTTTTATTATTTATAATATAAGCTAAATTGTTACTTAATAATGGTATTTTGGTCACGTTTAAAAATAAAATAACATTTAATGATATTCTGTCTCTAATTAATATCAATTACATTATAATTTAATATAATTAATGACAAATAATATTTATTTATCACATGTCAGGATATTACCGTGTATTTTATAACAGGGAAAGTTGGTTAAGAATCATAGATTATCTTAATTCCGAAAATTATACAAATATTAATGTTTTAAATCGTGCTCAACTCATCGACGACACGTTCCATTTAACAATATCAGGCGAATTAGATTCTTCTGTATTTTGGGAAGTCATAAACTACTTAAAATGGGAAACGAATTATATAGCATGGTATCCTATGTTCAAAGTTATTGAGCATGAGTCACACACTCTACTGTTTCCTAATGTCAATACTACTAATTTCAAGGTAAAAGCGACTTTAAAAAAAAAAAAAACAATTTTTTTGTGTTGTTATGTTCAAAATTAATTTTATTTTTAGTAATTATTTAAACGATTTTAAAAAAATATTGTGCTCCTAATTTAAAAATAAAGTTTTTACGTTTTTACAAGACTGAGTTTAAAATTTTTTGAATAATTAATGTTATCTTTATGTTACTTCACAATATTTAGATGAGACTACGAAAGCTACTGATTCCGCTTCTTGTAAACATTGGATACGAAGAAAAATTTAACGACGACAATCTTCTTAAATGTTTAAGGCAAGAAGCTTTAAGATGGGCTTGTGTTCTCGGTGATAGCGAATGCAAAAAATATGCAGAATATAAATTGCAATGGCATTTGTCAAATCCGACGTAATTATTAGTTCTTTTGTTGTAATATTTTTTACAATGTCTGCAGTACACGTCATATTTTTAAATAAAAATATGTGAAAATACACATCATAATTTTATGATAAAATGTTTTAGAGAAAATAAACTATTACCATGGTGGAGGGAATGGACGTTCTGTAATGGTTTATCTGTATCTAGTATTTCTCTTGACCAACTATTTAATGATTGGGATGCAATGTTGAAAATTAAAAATCTAAATGTGTTTAAAGTTGTCGCTTGCTATCATGATATTTATAGTCTCGTGTCTTTGCTAAAAACGTTCAAAAATTATCACATATCTGCTTATACAGAAGATAATGCAAGGACAATCACTATTATTAAATACAATATTGATCTGTTTTATTATGTTATTCAGAGACATGCAAATGGCTTAATGAATAACATTTTATTAAACAATTTGGAAGAAATCAAACCTAAGTAATAACATGTTTTCACAAATTCTAAATTTTTAATGCATTTTTCATTTGAATGCAATTAAAATTTTATTATATTATTTTCTTATATTATATTACATGTAATTTTTTTTAGAGAGATGAGTACAACCGCAGCATTAATTACTATTATAAATTATACTTATTCTAGCAAATTACTCTGTGAGGTAAGTTTTATCAAGCACAGCAACTCTTGTTCTTTTCATGTATTTTTATTAAATTACGATTTTTTAAATATATTTTATATATCATATTGTTACAAAAATTTTATTTTAATTATTGAGTAAGAAATTAGATTAATAATATATAAATGTGACATAAAGAAAATAATACTTTATTCGTATTTATTTCATAATATTCAGTAAAATTGTTAATTTTTAATGTATATGTATGTATATTGTTATTCATTACAAACAACATACAAATTTAAAAAATTATTTTATTTACAAAAAATAATAACGTATTTTCTAAATTAAGGCACTAAGAGTTAAGACGCGATTGTTAGTGCGTGGTCAGTTTATTAAAAATTGTATTGCAAATTTGTATGCAAGTAGAATTGTGAAAATAGGAAAAAGAGTTCTGCATTTTTCATATTTCCTAATTGCTAGCAAGTCATTAATTAATAAGAATTTGTGAATAAACATATGCTTACGAAGAACAGCTTTCATTGTTGCTAGAAGCGAGATGTTTGAATGCTGGCAAATAAGCGAATATTCCATTATTTGTAGATCATACTGACTCAAACATCTTATCGCATTCCTAACAGTCGTAAATGTGCGCAATATTGAACTGCCCCTCCACGCAAATTCACACTTATTTTTATTAATTAGTAACTTTTTATTAATTGCGGAACTCGCGAGGCTGTAAGGATTTTTTAATTTATTGTCAGTAAAATCATCTCTATCTGCACATATAAGTTCTCTGTCAATAATTGTTAGATAGCCTGTAAGAAAGCACTTAAACGAATATGTGTATAACATACATTTAATGTTATAACATTATTATATAATGTCATTTTCCACATTGCAATTTTTCTTTCTAAAATTAATGATTTTACAAAATGTATGCATATTTAACATGACGAATTTTGCAGATGCAAAAATGGATACATAAAACTCTTGCTAATTCATTACTTCAGAACACTGAACACAAAATAAAAATGCGCCTCAAAAAGCACTATGTAGACATTATAGACGATGAATGTAAGATCATTCTGCTTTAGTTTTTAACAGATTATATAAGTGAAGATTGCATTAAATTTATGCTGCTTTGTGTACCCTTCCAATATTATTGCCAGTACTGAAAATGTATCCGTAATTCGTCAGGTATTATAGATAGATCAATATTGTTAGAGAAAATCGGAATACAATCTAGGATTTGTCATTTTGTGGTTAAAATAGACACATGTCGGTATTCATACCTTTCTTGCTTTCCACTTTGTAGATATCTTTTTGTAGATATCTTTTGTTCGACAATTAATCTCAGAGAAAAAAACAGACTAAATCATTAGAAACTTTTGATATTTATGTTAGCATTACTTTGAAATATATTATCAATATTGTTATAAATCATTTTTAAGTTCATAACGATTATTAGAAGTATATATTATATGATGCATATATAATTTCTATATGTATATTATATGTATATTATATATTATATGATGCATATGTAATTTCTATATGTATATTTTAAATGTATGTGTATAAAAAATGTCAAATAATACTAATGCTTTTACATTAATCTTATTTTTGACTAGTTGACTAGTCTTATTTTTCAAAATTGATTATCGCGCTTTACGAAAAAAGTTACAAAATCACTAACGAGAAATGGCATGAATATTGATAATTAGTTCAAAATTTTAAATTATAAATGGCACTGCAATCCTCAATATTCGAAATTCTATAAATAAAATTAACATAATGATTTAAATATCTCGGCTATCCTTAGAGAATTTTTGTACAAAGTATTAATTTAAATAATTATTTGTTTATTTATTGTAAAGATGATTTTTATTTTTAAATAAATTTAACATAAGCATTTTAATGGCCTTTGATTATATATTTTAATTTTAGAAACATTTCAGAAACTATTTGGACAATTGTTAAAAATATTTCTTTAAACATTTGCAAAACAGATATATGTATCAACATTTATTTGCTTTAATAACGTAAAATAACGTAAAATTTTAAGATTATACAAATAAATTTTGAATTATACAATATTCTATTAACAATATTATTAAAGATTTTGAATTGAAGAACATTTAGATATTGTCTATAAATTTAAAGTTTAATTTACATCTGTTATATATATATATATATACATATATATATATATATATATATATATCGATATAGAAGCTATTTATTACCAATAAACAATATTAT